TAGTGCAGCTTCCAAATTGCCAAATGTTCCATCTTGAAGTAATGAAACAGTTTGGATATATATTAAAGAGTAGAAGATGTAATATCATGTAGCAATCATGCAAAGATCATCAAATCCTGGCACAGATAGATCAACAACAGCATACTTCACCACCAAAATCAGCATGTCCAGGTGTATCAACCAAGTTTAATTCATTTTCCTTCCATGAAACGGATGTAACCTGCATATGAGGATCAGAGTATGAACACAAGTCATACTGGATCGTAATAGTAAAAAAGAAATGATAACAGTCACCGAAACACAACTTATATAAAAGAATGGACTATCATTATTGTTTTGTGATTTATTCATGCTTAAAATATATAGCTATAAACTTGGGCATGGATAAATTGCCATGAAAATTTGTACGGGAGGAGTAATTTTAGTAGGAGGATCATTTCCAAAATTCAGGAGCTTAGCCTAGTGAAGTGAAGACACCTCAGTCAATCACCGACAAAAAAGAAATTTTTTTAGCTACTGGTACTCAAAATATTGTTTAGACAAGAATTGGTAAACAAGAAAAACCTCTCTTTCACTCCTCTCCTGTATTTGAATATTATCTAATGAATACTGTTTTTGCAATAAGTGGTAAGTCTTCTCATATAAAAGTCCAAATTTTATTGTTACAACAGTGATTCTTATAGTGCAGAACTAATTTCTTATTTTGGCACTAAGATCCCTCCCCTGTTTCATGATTTCACCAATTCATTTTTTTAAATAAATGATTTCACCAGTTCATAAAAACGAATTTCATCATATTGAACAAGAAGAACCAATTGAAACCGACCTTGGAGGCGATAGTGATCCCTCGCTCGCGCTCGAGGCTGATGGAGTCCATGGCGCGTTCGTGAGGGATGTCAGCGCCGCACTGCCGGAGTAGCCGGTCCATTAGCGTAGTCTTCCCGTGATCAACATGCGCTATCACCGCCACGTTCCTCAGCCGGCTAGGTTCGAGCGAGCTGTTCGGCACACCGGCAGCTGCTGCAGCTGGAGCCGCAGAAAAGGAGCGCGAGAAGAACGGGGCGACACGCGAGCATGATAGATGGTGTCTGAGATTTACGTGAGGTGAGGATGATGATTGGGAGGAGAAGGACCTCCTTGCGGTGGAGGACCAGAGAGCGCGAAGTACAG